TATATATATATATATATATATATATATATATATATATATATATATCGTCACAAACAGAACTGCCCGGTAAACCGTAGGCAGAGAGAGAGAAGAGGGCAACAAACGAGGGGCTGTGATATAGATATATATATATATATATCGTCAAATAGTATATATATATATATATATTGACGATATATATATATATATATTCAGCCTCCTGATGAGTCCGTGAAACTCCAACGAAACAGTTTGTCACAGCCCCTCGTTTGTTGTCCTCTTCTCTCTCCCTGCCTACGGTTTACCGGCCAGTTCTGTTTGTGACGATATATATATATATATATTCTTTGGGAAATTGCACGAAAATAGCAAAGTAAAAGCGAATTCACAGATTTCTCAAAACATAATAAAATAACATTTCAAAAAAAAACTCCAGAAAGGATGCCAACGGTCATTGAACTGGCTGTCTCCAAAAAAGGAGACAGCTAGCTCAAGGGAAAGTGGCGATGGTAGGGGGCGTTGCAGTCCGGAAAAAGTCATTTTTGGATCTATTTTGTTGGAAGAAAAAACGCGATAAAATGTATTCACAATTAAAAAAAGAGGGAACCGCTGGATGATTGCGAGGGCGTGCATCTCCTCCATCTCCTACAGTCGCACGGTGAATGTGGACCTAGCTCACCGGATGAAGTGGGACAAGGTCCCTGGTGGTTTAATCCCCCAGTCAAAAGTCACCCAGGGGCAATCAATGCTGAGGGGTACAGATGTTTGATATCATGGTCAAAATTATGTGTGTAAGGGATGCTGGACCCATTTTCCAGCAGGTTCAGCCCCCCACCAAGTGTGCTTATCTGCATATAGTACATTCATGCACATAGGCATGACATTGTGTGCTTATCTGCATATGTATGACAATAAATATGTAACGTATATATACGTATATAATATGTATTCTTATTCTTTTCTTATTCTTATTATTCTTATTATTATTATTATTATTATTATTATTCTTATTATTATTATTATTATTATTATTATTATTGTCGTGCTGCTTCTATTAGTGAGAGAGTGAACCATAGCTCATACTAGGCTATGGTAGTCATCTTGGTGTGGTCTGAGATTACCTCAAATGAGGGCGGACTCACACTAGCAGTATCTAAAATGTATCTGACCGCGTTCACGGCCATACCTGGATGTATCTGGCCGCAATTCCGTCCAAAAATATGCAAAAAAGTCGTAGTGTGAGTATGCCCTGACTGAATATCACTTCTTCGTGATGTCCAAGTAACGTGCAGAAAACCAAAAAAATGGAAACCTTTTTCGACATACCCACTGATGCCCTTTAAAAATAAAAAAATAAAAAAATAAAAAAATAATAATAATAATAAATGTATCCACTAATTTCTACACAAAATGCATCCACACAGATTTCCATCCGTGAACGCCGATAAACAACACTTAAATTATCGTCGTGGTGAAGAATAATGAAATTATAATCGACATCCGTCGGTGTCTGATGAAACTACCAACAGCCGTAGTGTGTCCTGTTCCGTTTCGCTGACAGTGTGTGTGAGTGGGCTATTCTTTTTTTTTTCTTTTTTTTTTTTTTCTTTTTTTTAACGAGAAGCCCTTGTGCCATCCCTCTATCCCAGCAGTGGTACGAGAACCGCCAGAATTGAGGGCTTGACTGTCGGGCTGCTCCATCTATTGGTGGGGAGCGGCACCTGCTGGAAACCGGGTCCAGCGTCCCATTGATAGATCTTGTCACACAAAAATATTGCTGATTGTTGTTCCCTTTCCGTTGGGCAGCTTAATGTTCCGTTGCCGATTCCGTTCCGTGGGCCAGACTATGTTACGTTGAGTGGGCGTTGGGTTAAGTCGCGCGTTCAAAATGGCTTTTTGGCAGTTCGGTCGATTGCTTCTTCTTCTTCTTCTTCTTCTTCTTCTTCTTATTATTATTATTATTATTATTATTATTATTGGTGGTGGTGGTGGTGTTGGTGTTGGTGTTGGTGTTGTTGGTGTTGGTGTTGGTGTTGTTGTTTGGATGCTGCCAATGAGAAAGAAGCAACTAGAAGCTGCCCGTCTGGATAATATCAACCCGATTGGGCGGCTGGTCATTCACTACAGCTGGCATTCACTTCTTCGTTGAAATCAACCCTTTATCGTAATGACATTCTCTTTTGGATTTCGGGAAAATGCAAAAGCTTTGATTGTGTGTGTTTTCTCTGTGTGTGTGCATTGAAGGATTGAAGGATTGAAAAACAGCATACACGTGCATATCATGCATAGGGCCTCGCCACACCACTCTCGAAATGTGAAAAAGACAAAAATGTGGCTGGTGCATCTGGCCATGTTCTCTGAAGAAGTTCATTCTCATTTTGCACATTTCGAGAGTGGTGTGGCGATGCCCATAGTAGCACAAGTTTTTGAATGCTGTTTTGAATGCTATGGTAGTTACGCAGTGTAGCACGAGTTTTTCAATGCTTGAAAAAAGCATTGAAAAAAGGGGGGCAGGCACACGCGTTTTTTTTTTTGTTTTTTTTTTTTTCAGAGAAAAGTTTTGTTTTGGGGATAATTTGCAAAATACCTCCAGAAGTTGAGATATATGGCGAAATGCCCCGGAGCGGAATGCCCCTCTGACAAAAAAATATTTTGTCAAATACCCCTGGCATCGGTTGGAACCCCATCTTTGCAATATACTCCTACGGGGTACCATCCAACTTTGCAAAATGCCCTTGTACTTGCCAATTTCTCCTAGGTGCTATTGAAAAAAAGGCCAAGGCCCAAACGGCAAGAGGTCCAGATTGCAAAGTTGCACACCCACCTGACAGGGGCACAACACAAAGATTTCGGGCCAAAAGCTTGGGCATTCCGCTCTACCCACATCTTTCAGGGGCATTTTGGCATAGATATCAACTTATGAGGGTATTTTGCAAATTATCCCTTCGTTTTTTTAATGACAGGCCCAGTGCCATTCATGCTGCTGCTGCTGCTGCTGCTGGAAAAAGAAGGGGCCGTCCGGCCTATTTTACTTTTCTTTTCTTTTCTTTTCTTTTCTTTTTTTCTTTTTTCTTTTTTTTCTTTCTTTCTTTTTTTCCTTTTAGCTCGATCGGGAAATGTGGCAACTACGTACTAGGTCTTTTTTCTTTTTTTCTTTGGGAAAATTGCATCTGTACCCCACTTAAAGATGGCAATACCGGCTATACCCAGTCCGTCCCAGTGCGAACTTGCATCTATACCCCCAAGGCCATTCCACTTTGCATAGTACCCAGCTTTTCCCCAGGCATGCACTGTGCGAAATTGTAGGTGTACCCACCCAATCCCGCAGGCCCTTGAACTTCAACCTCGAAATTACGCTCATGCCCATCAGGCCCGATGGCTGCTGGGTATGAGCATAACTTCAGCCATCCAGTAGCAGGGTATATGTATAATTTAGCCGCTTCACCTCAGGTCCCGGGTATACCCAGGCAGCCCATAATTTGTGCCTGGGGGTATGTCCGTAATTTGTGCATTCCGGCAGTTGGTTATAACTGCAATTTTTCGGTACCAACCTTGGTCCACCTCGTCCTGGGCATGCCAACAATTTCCACCAGCCGTTTTCAGGGTATAAATGCAAGTTGGCAATGGGACTGGGTATAGCCGCTATTCCCATCTTTAAGTGGGTTACAGATGCAATTTTCCCTTTTTTTTTTTTTTTACTTTGATTAAATGTGAAAAGGGGACAACCGTTTAGATTAAACATTCACATAATTTTGAGTAATAGTTTGGATAATCCTTTCGCATAGGATGATGTATAACAGGTAACTTTTCATATTTTTTTACAGTTTTTTTGTTTTTAATCCATTCGGATAATTTCGGATACAAGTTTGCATAATCCAGGCAGATGTGAGGGACGCTCGGCCCGTTTCCCAGCTTGTAATTGAAAAAAAAGCTCCCTTTTTGTTTAAAAAAAAAAAAAAACTTCTGGATGAAGGGTTTTTTTTTTGTTTTTTTTTTCCCCCCTTGCGCAGGACCCATGCTAATCTTCATCCGTCAAAATTGGATGCAAGTTTGGATACTCCAGTCAGATTACTTTTTTGGATAACGTTCGGATAATCCCATTGGGTTAACTTTGGAAAAACGTTGGCTGGAAAAAAGAAAAAAAAAAAAAAAAAAAAAAAAAAAAAAAAAAAAAAAA